CCCTCAGAAACATCTACACCTATCTGATAGAAGAGTATCTGTTCTGCTCGACGATACCAAGAAACAGTTATGTAGCATAGCAGATTATGTTTAGTGTCTGATCTGAACAAAATCTATCGAAAACCTGTACAGCATTCTGTTATCTGAACACATCTTCACGACGGTAATAGGACAGCATGTTGCCGGAAAATCCTCGAGGTGCAGGTAGGCTGGAACGATTCTCGACATTCTGCTGTGGTAGTGTTTCCTTGATCAGTATGTGGATCAAATGTGAAGAGTTTTGTACTGGAATGAAGCAGCTTAATTGCATAACAGCACTTTGGAAATCCACGCATAAGTCTAAAACTAGGCAGGATATCACAACAGCGCATACTTTTGTGCAGGTCATGGATTTCGTTTATCCGACAACACAAAAAGAATTACTTTATTAATAAGCAGGCCTGATGGTACAGGTGTCTTGAAAACCTACATGAGAATTTTAGCAGCGTGTTTTCGAATAATATGCAGACCAAATCTATGAAGTTTAGTATCACAATGGAACATCTACGTTATGCAATATGGCTATAAAATTTGGCATCACACTGAAACTATGCAAACCCCCTGGGCGTATGTAGTATTCTGACAGCTGAGGATATGTTCTATCCAATGGCATCAAAAAACTATCATGCTGCTGAAGAATCCTTCGGATACAGATAGCTTGAAACTTGGCATTCAAATATCACCGCAGTAGCCTATTGTTATATAGCATAAAGATTAAGTATGCTGAATTTCGTACAGAGCTTTTTGCCATACCATTAGAAAATTAGGTTTGTCCACTGATCTAAGCGAAATTCCTCAACAACATATACATGTACTATTTTGTTAGGTGGGAATCTGTTCTATCTGGTTTTGCACAGAAATCGACACATTTCTGCGAAAATTCAGCACAAAGATTGCCTGAGAATAATACCTGAGGTAATAGTGTACAAACTACGCTGCTGAATTTACTCAACGTTATCATAAAGAACCTATGAACAAATATGATACGTAGAATTTCGAATCATTCAGAGGTTGGCACCGCTCAAGTATCCGCAGTACGGCGGCATCTGAATCCGGAAATTCATGACACGTTCAATTACCTATTTCCAATGTACCCTTCGTCACTTAAATTGGGCTGCTTTGCAAGGAACCATTCCTCATTTTCATTAATAATAATGCTTACTAATCAACATTGATGATAAAGTAAATGATAATTACAATCTCAACTAGAATCAACAATTACACAGGACTGAGACGAGAATAAAGCAATTGCACAATTAAGACAATTAAAACAAAACTATCATGTTGCCGAACAGGAATGACTTACCCATCAAGAACAGGAAATAACATTTTCAAGTCACCTAACGATATAAATCAACTGAGGATGAAATTTCATCTTGTTTCCGACAGACGTGGTCTGATTGAATTGGTCGAATTCTATACCATTTTTTGGCAATTGTAAATAAATATAAATAGCGAAAATGATAATTATTGCTCTAAAAAGGTAAGAACAAATTCAAATGGATGAATAAGATGGAATAAGTTATTCGGGAAGGAGACAAACGAACACAATTGAGACGATACTGGCTGCCTACATTAATTCGATGAGTAAGAGGTAATCCGAAATCAATTAATGAAATTAAGAGGACGAATGTTGTAAGCATGCTCTATTGAGGAGTAAAGGTTCTGATGCAAATCTGGATGGCTCACATCAATTCGTTCAGATGAGTACAGTCGCTGAATTTCACATGGGGATCAACAACAAAAGTCTGTTGTGGTGTTTTGATCAACGCCTTGATCAAGCTTTCAATTTTCAGTGCAAATAAACATGTACGTGCGCCATACGAGCAAGGTAAACCATGCAGAGCAGCGTCTGATTGTACCACCTTCCCTGAATCGAAATGCTTCAGAAAAAAGGGACTTTGCGAGCTGAAATGATTTCGATACGTCAAACAGAAACAAAAAATAACGATTGCCGAGCATGCACGGTGTTAAATATGATATACATCTTTGTTGATTGCTTCTTTCATTTAATATTTTTCTGAAATTGTTTCGCTTACATTGTTTCGAATAAATTTTGGATAATGCGTGCAATTGATATTACAAGCACAACGCAGTCCGTCAAATTTTTAGTTATGATTCAGGGTAATCCTTTAATTTTGATGAGAACAGCTTCCCTGATTCTATTTGTAATCGTTTATCCGCATGAATCATTACCATCTGGATTGCGGAAACATCAGAATAAAATCATGTTCGCTAAGGAAATGAAAACTTGATGAAAAATCAAGGAAATGAAAAATGATAATTATTGCACTTTAGTAGGGAGCATGATGACGCTTTTTTAGTTAACTTCTCAATTTGAAATCATTAAATGATTGTTCTGCAACCATTCGAAAAAAATTGCAGTGCAATTTCTCAGAATTCATGAAAATTGGGATCAAATAATAGAGAGTGCATTCAGTTGATTCAGTGATTCAAATGCGAAATTTTTCAACCAAAACAGGTGAACAATCGAGTCGCGACAACGACAACAATATTCATAACGAAGAGACAAAAATAATTCGTTTTATCTGTGAATTCTCAGCGAAATAGATTTGAATAGAATATTATTATTATTCTTTGTATGGAGTGCTTCGAAATGTACCCAGTTAATCCTACTGTTTATTTAAGAGTATTCCAAAAAATGATATTATCGCTATTGAACAATAACAGTTTCAAAAAAAAAAGATTTTCACTGATATATTATATCAACAACACTCCATTTGCATTGCACTTAGTGTTTTGAGCAAATGATGAATTGAAGCTTTCATCAAATTCGATTTCGAAATTCTTCTTTTACGGTTTCCAGTTTTTTTGTCTGATATCGTTTTCAATCAGGTCAACACGCTTAAATTGTCGTTCAGGTAGTATTTTCCATCATTCAGTTCTTTTGGTTAGTATCAAACAACCTCAGCTTTGTCAGCAATGGGAATTTGGTCTTCCGGTATTACCGTTGTCGCGCTGTTCTGCTTGATATTGGTAACTTATTTCGTCGTACTTACAATCATCTCCTACAGATGAAAATTCTCCTAGCATCCAGGGCCATTTTACGTTGCATACGGTCTCGAATTGGAATGTTAGTGAACAATGAAGTTTTGTGATTTTCTGCAAAGCAATGACACCACGTTCTGGATGCAGTCCATATTAAATCTGATAGAAAACAATATAGCGCAGAACGAATCGCTGATTGCTTGGTGTGATATGGTGCTTGTCTATGCAGATAGCGGTTCCAGCATTCTCAATTCTTTTTGATTTCACTCAATTGTCCATTGATTTCGAGTGAGTAAATGAAATTTGAAGGTTGCGCACGCCCAGGAAAATCCTGTTGAGGTGGATATCAGTTCGGGCAAAATTCGTGGTTTCGAATCCACCTTTCTCGGCAGTCAGGTGCGCTCTTTCCTCGGGGTACCATTTGCGGAACCACCAATCGGAGAAAACAGATTCAAACCACCAGTGCCAAAATCAGCATGGACCGATACTTTGGACGCTACGAAACCTTCACCTGCTTGTTATCAGGTGATGATTAGAACCTGTAGTAGTGTACTAGTTCGACTATTTTGGTTGAGCAGTAATATTGTCCATAATGCGGAAGCCGCAAAGTCGATATCGTACTTCATTCGAGACTCGATTGTGATCGAATCAAGAATTTG